TTCCTGGAGTTTGAGGGATCTATAGACATACAAAGAAAGCCGCAGTGCACAACGACTAAGACTTTGCGATAATAACTACAAAGATAAGGATATAATTCCAAGCGTAAATAATGGTAATAACGAATTTCGAAAATTGATTATAATTCCTCATCCGAAAAGTTCAGACAGAAAGCATATTTTCTCGTTCTTACACTTACTTTTTGCTGCTATATAATCGACAAATAATTGACAACATTCGAAAAATTAATTAATCACCGTATTTATTCTGTATGTTACTATTTTAAATGTAAGCGTCGCGCTGACTATATAAGAGATTTGAATTAAGAATTAATTAACATATACCAGCCAATATTCGGAAAGGAAAATTGGATGATTTATATAGCTGAATCAATACATCTAGGTCAGCGTAGATAAGAATTTGTTAATTAACTATCCGTGTATCTGACCCTATAAGTAAGTCATCTTATCGATACTGAGGAGGATTATTTCGAATTTATAAATTAAATAATTTAGAGATTAAAAGTCCTTCCAGCCCACCCTCTCTAAGCAGGAGGAGTGACTTTAAGAACTGGATGATTATTTTGATGATTTTATAAATAAAATATATATCCTTTACACAACCAGAGAAAAAGAATTCCACAGGGGTGGGGTTCAGCGAACTTGCAATATACCTAACCCTAATCCTAAACTTAACCTACTTTTGACCCTGTATATAATATCCTGTCTTTGGGGGAGGGGGTGCACTTTTTTTTTTTTTAGCCTTCGATAGATCTTTGACAAGGAAAAAAAAAAAACAAAAACGGTTAAACTTTTAGTTTTGGTAAATCTTTTTATCGTTCTATTTTACAATCTCATTTTTTACGGTAACTGTAAAATCTTTGGTTATTCCATTTTTTAAGTCATTTCACCCCAAGCAAAACGGTAATGCTATACTTACAGAGAGTGAAAGTGAGATAAATGCTGGGTAGAGGAGAATTGTGTAAAGAATATAAGATGAACTGGTTTCAAGACAATACAAGATGGCGATTGACGTTGCATTAAAAATTTTGAAGATATTTGTAGTTATCAGGGAAGAAAGTAAACGGAAGGTAGTTCCACTGTTGAGAAGTGCGGGAAAAGAAACTGTTGGAATCTGTTATTTTCTTCTAATATGCTCGTTTTTATTGCAACGAGTAAATTTTGTGCAACTGGTAAAATATTTAAGAATTAACGTTTTATTTTATCCTCTATATAACACAACTGTTAAAAATGTCTTTTTGTGTTTGCATAGAGAAAAAAAAGATAGATTAAACTGTTTTTGTTTCGCTAGTTCAACAGTATTTTAGAAAATATTTTATTTAAGTTAAGAAACTCAATTCTACTTTACACAAAGAAATCGATGCGGCATTTCAGTCTTTGTTTATAGATTTAATTATATCAAAAAAGCTGATTAAACCTAAAATAAAGAAGGTTAAATAAAAGACATTCTATAAATCATTATTTTACATTGATTCTTTAATTGATTTTACTAATTGACTACGCTAAATGTATTTTTATCCACGAATCCTCATGAACGTTTTTTTTTACCAATAATTCATTTAAACTAAGAAGCTGCTGGTTTCAACACAAGTTAACCTTGCTTATCTCCCTTGTTAAATACAGCGTCTTTTAAAAATGTAACGAGGAGACATAAAAAAGCATGTCATAATTTACTGCTGGATTTATTTCTAATTTTATTTTGATTACACTCAGGAAAATAGTCTATCCTGATGAAATTGAAAGAAATGGTCTTGTTAAATAGTTGAGAAAAAGTTTATTGAAGCGAAACTGTTTCCAGGTCGACGAGCAGAGATCAAATAAAAACGAAAATATGGCGTGGGAAAATATAAAAATATCTTTATTGTATGAAAATTACCAGAGTATGCGATGCGACACACACACACACACACACACATATATATATATATAATATACTGTTTTTTTTATAATTGAATTGATTCATATTTTGTGTGTATATATATATATATATATATATATATATATATATATATATATATATATATATATATAAAGAGAAAGAACAGTCAGATTAACCATCCACAGTTCTTTAGCATTGATTTTTTTAAAAAGTGCTCGATGCAAAGTAGAGGATAATATTATAATATTATTTAAAAATATTTTATTATTGCGACACGCAAATTTCTGTTTCTGAACTGAAAGTTAAAATTTACTGTTGCATTTGCAAGGGACTTTGAATAACTTCAGAAAAAAATGATTTACTTTTGCTAGCGAAGTAGTATTATATTGAAGAGTTTAAGTGGGAGAGAGAATAAGATTTCAAAATTTTATTATGGGTGTTGTTTTATTTGACAAATCTAAATACAGATCAAAGCTAAAGTGGAAAAATAAAATTGTGTGGGTATGTAAATCATGCTCGTCTAGAATTGTCTGTCATGTATTAGACATATCATACTCGCTTCCTTTTATGAACATATACATAAGATACACTGAAATAAAGAGTTGTATGTATCGAACAATGGGATAATTTCGACATTTTTTATTTTTTTAATTTATTTTTTATAATTTAGGAATCCCTTAAAGGAGCTTCTGGTACGATTAATTTATTTTTAATATATATTTTTATATATTTAATTATAATGGTCTAAAATGCAATAATTATATTCAATGGTACATTAGACATGACAATGTTAAAATTAAAATTAAGTAATAAATTACACATTTTATGTACCATTATATGTAATCAAAAATTATATATATATATAATTTTAAAGTATAGATTTTCTTAATATAAAACTCTATCAATTATGTTTTAATGTAAATATAATACAATGTCTGCAAAACAGTTAATTTGTTTCGTTGATTTAATAATTCTTTATTTTTAAGAAACTATATAATATATAACTTTTCTTGGGGGCATAGAGAACATGGGTCATTTAATGACCTACAAGTTGTCGTTTTTTTTATAATAATTTCCATTTTACGGTGGGGGTTTTATTTGCTACTTTTAAATGCCAAAATATTTAGAGAGAGATGTTTGGTTACGATACCCATTGTTCTTGAAGGAAGACGTTGGTACCATGTTAATTAAAATCATTTTTAGTGCTACCAATATAAACTTATATATATATATATATATATATATATATATATATATATATATATATATAATAGACTCTCCCGTCGGTTTGGACGTATGAGGATCTGACAACTTATTGATTTAGTTATGAAATTTTGTGCGATGATCTTAAGTGGCATTTAAGACCCGCTAGTGATTTACAAAGGAGGCCAAATATGGAGCAAGTGTGAGGATTGTGAGATGAGATCACTGTTAGATTAGCTGACCTTTTAGATCTTGCTCTCGCTTCTTGAAGATGATTCAGACAAGCAGATTGAAAATTGCTGAGTCCACTAAAACACGTTGATCTCCATACTACCCGCCCAAGGCTAAGCGCTCAAGTGTGTTATGTGGTATATATACATATATATATAAAATTTGGTATATTTATAAGGTAAGAGTGGTCAATATCGGAGTTAGGGCATTTATAGATATAGTGTTGGCATATGAATCAATTATGAATAGTGACTGTCAGTTTCATGCATGAGTACCATCATTAGAATTCAACATGGATATCCCTAAAAATAACATTTGAAGTAATAGAAATATCTGAATAAATATAGCGCTAATATATATATATATATATATATATATATATATATATATATATATATATAGGATCCTTCGTAATTACGGACAAGTTTCTTAGTATCCTTATTAAAACAAGACAGAAAATTACCATGTTGATGGCTAAGCATTTCATCCGAGATCTTTCGGAATTAGCACGTCATCATCAAGGTTTTTCTAACACAAAAAAATTGTTGTATTCATTTTTATCAGATAAAGTTGTTCTGTTCATCAACGATAAGTTTATGTAATGTACGATTTTATGATGTGAGCATACAACAAACGTCAAGGGAGGTAACTAAGTTCTTGAAATCTGCAAATATTTAAGAAAAAAAATATTTATTTAATGATTACTTAAAACCTAGATATTTTAAACTATCTACTGTAGATAATTTATCCATCGCCCACTCTATATACATACATACATACAAGCATATATATATATATATATATATATATATATATATATATATATATATATATATATATATATATATATATATATATCAAACAAGGTCTATCTGTCTAATATTCAGATAAAGTGTTGCGTACTGTGCTCAAAGTTGCGCACAAACCGTCTGATGTTCATATTTTTTTAGAATTCCTTTGTCTACATCTTGGTATTTTTTGTGAACCAGTATATATATATATATATATATATATATATATATATATATATATATATATATATATATATATATATATATATGCAAGTTTCGTTGAAAACGACTAACAAGGTGTGGTGGTTGAGTTTTTTTTTACATAATTTCTCATGTGTTCGTATGTATATATATATATATATTATGGCAATCTATCTGTTTATATCCTCGTTTCCGGTATGTGGGTAACGAGGCGAAAATAAGAAAGTGAAAATAAAAAGTAAATGACTCGATTTTTCTCAGGATTAAAAAAAAATATTTTTCCATTTCGCAATAAAATTTAAAGCGTATTTCAAATATTAATACAAAAACAAAAACAAAAAAGTCTGTATTTTTTTTAATAACCTACCAAATTAGAATTAAATCAAGATTAAGTTAAGTGTAAATTAAAAGTAAATTAAGATTAATTGCAAAAATTTTGTACAGAAACTTTCTACCTATTTCTACTAATCAATTTTTTGCATTAAAAAAAGCCTCAACGCACATCCTACAAGTACGCATATATTATCCTTATTAACTGGAACTTATGCCCAAATCACGTCAAAACAACGGTTCTCGTACCGATGTTAAGCAACGACGAGCTCAGTCAGTACCAAGATGGGTGACCGTTTGTGAATACCAGGTGTTGCAATCTTGGATATGTGGTTGGTGTAAAGGGCTTACGGCCACATCACGTTGAAACACGGGTTCCTGTACAATCACCAAAGTTAAGCAACGTCGACCCTGATAAGTACTTAGATGGGTGACCGCTTGAGAATACCAGTTGTTCTAAGCTTGTATGTGCGAGTAGTGTACAAGATAATGACTTGGAATTGTTAATTGGAGGGCCAATTACCCGTACGATCACTGAAGTTAAGCAACGTCTATCCTGGTCAGTACCTAGATGGGTGCTTACTTGGGAATACCAGGTGCTGTAAGCGTGTATGTGCGAGTGGTGTAATGGATAATAACTCGAAATTCTTAATCGGAGGGCCGAGTTCTCGTATGTTCACTGAAGTTAAGCAACGTCGAGCCTGGTCAGTACCTAAATGGGTGACCGCTTGAGAATACCAGGTGCTGTAATCTTAGATGTGCGAATGTTGTAATGGAGAACAGTTCGGAAATGGTAATTGGAGAGCCGAGGTCCATTATCGTTAAGTTCTTTATATTCACTTACGCGCAAGTCTCCTTGAGAAAAGGTATGAATTCACTCTTCCCCTCCGACCTATGGGTTAATTAGTAAGTATCTCTAAACTATTACTATCTAAGGATAACCTATTTTTCATTTCCTTGAATTAGGTTTTCAAGGAATATTTTCTTATTTTGAATACAAAGTTTTTTATTTGTTAAATTCTGTTCTCTAGGCAGGAAAAATCGAAATCTAGTTTAATTTTGTCTAGTTTCTTAAAACCGGAAACAACATTTGCTTTTTTTTTTATTGATAAATCGTCTATTTTCTCTGCTATCTTTCATTTCTTTTTTCATGCTTTCAGTTGGCTTGCAAACAACATGATAATGAGAGGCGAAAAAGCATATTCGAAAATTATCTTTTTATCACTCGGCTATAATGTACTTTTCCCACAAGAGTTCAAGATAATTTAAATTTCGCGCTCCATCAATATATAAGCAGTCATTGTCTAGAAAAAGGGGTGGAGTTAATATCCAAATAAAACAATCCAATTTCCGTTATTTGGGCGTATATATTGTAAATAAGATGCATTTTGTTTGTTTCTTTCTTTTCCTTTACTTTTCTTCTTTTTTTTCCCACGGAAAATGTAAGAAAACAGACGTTATTAGTTTTTATACTGAACTCATTTGAAGATTAATTTTTAAATTATTTTTAAGACAAAATTCGTAAGGGTTAGACTGTTTTAAATAAAAATAAATCTCAATTGGGGTTACTTTTTACATACTAAATTTACTAAGAAAGACTATGTAATAAATAGAAGCGATTTCTACTAATACTACAACTACTACTGCTAATAATATATGATATATATATATATATATATATATATATATATATATACATACTAAATTTACTAAGAAAGATTATATAATTAATAAAAGCGAATTCTACTACTACTACAGCTACTACTGCTAATATATATATATATATATATATGTATGTGTGTGTGTGTCAGAGGTGACAGGCTGTTTCATGCTCGACGCAATCGTCAGGCTTTAACAAAGACGATTGCGTCTAGCATAACGTTTCGACCGTAGTATGTTCCGGCCTTTTTCAGGATTGGAGTTTCGAACTCTTTATATCGTCCACCAGGGTAGTTTCTTCTAGTTCCTCGTGCCATGTCTCTTCCGGATTCTTCCGTTTCAGTTATTCCCCTTTAGTAATTCAACTCTCCAATTTAATTTTTCACCTCTGCTGTAGTCAAGTATTGAACTCACAACTCTTTGGGTGAAGTCACTGAATTACCTACAGGGCCATGCGTCTTCAAGAATACATGGCCTAGAAGATACAATTGGAAAAATGGGTTAAAGGGAAATAACTGGTACTGAGATAGTCGGAAGAGGCATGGCACGTGGCTCTAGAAACCCTATGGACGAAATAACTGGCTCAGTTAGAAATTCCAACGTATGCCACCTGAAGAATGCCGGAGCGTACAACGGTTGAAACGTCGTGCATATGGTAAAAAAAGATGAGGAAAACTTTGTTTTCCTCTTGCTCTCTATCTGCCTCTAGAGTATCAGATTTTCCAAGTCCTCTTTTCTCTTTATATGCCCTATAAACCTCAACTGTCTCTTCAAGCTGTTAAGTATTAGTTTCCTTTTTGTTTCCATTTTTTCCAAAACTTCGTCGTTACTCACATGTTCGGTCCACAGTATCCTCGTCATCCTTCTGTAGAACCGCTGTTTCTGTTGATTAAATTTTCCTGTTCATCTTTGAGGAGATCATCCAGCACTCACAACCTTACAGGAGGACAGATATTACGTAGCAGTTTAATAATCTTTTCCTTGTTTCTAGCAAAATTTTCCTGTTTCTCGTACTCTACTTAGCCTTAGGATGCTTCCTTGGCTATCCCAATACACCTTCGGATCTCAGTGTCACTCTTCCGTTTTCTGTTAAAATACTTCTCCAAATTAAGTATCCAAAGAATAGGAAATTGTGGAGAAATGTGATCGCCCACGTCATGAAGGGACACGGCACATTATAACCTTTTTCCTTCGTCTTTATTTAATCTTTTTTATTGTTTAAATTCTGTTTTTTTAAACACATCGACGAATTCATCAAAATAGTTTAGCCTAATCTTTCGCATGTATTGATTTTAATTAGATTGTTTATTTTCTTTCGATTAGTTTTGACTGTAAACTTCTATTTTTTTTTATCGTTAATGATCGAGGAAGACTATTTTCTTTTCGTTATTTCTTTTTATCTCACTTCTTTACTCTGTTTTCTTTGCAGTTTCGTACATTAGACTTTATGCTTCTCATACTTTTCTCTCTCCTTCCTATCGATTCGGTTTTAATTTTGTTGTCTCTTTTTCGCTTTATTTAATTTTATTTAATTGTATTTTTCCTTCTTTCTCTTTATTTTAATTATATCTCTATTTTCTTCTTTTGTGTTAGTGAGCGATTTCTTTCCGTCTTTTCTTTCTTTTTTATTATTTCCTGTCCTCGTTTTCTTTTTTGTCCTTTTTCAGTTTGCTTTCTTTTTTCGTTTACTTTTCCGTCTTTTTTTCTGATTAATTTTTCTTTCTTTTTTTTTCTTTTTTTCTTTCTTACTTAATTTATTTGGTTAGCGTTTCTTTATTTTTTCCGTACTTTCTTCATTTAATTATCTACATTTTATTCTTCTTTCTTTCTTTTTTCTTTTTTTCTGTTTTCTTATTTTTCTTTTTCGCTTTTTTTCGTTTCACGCTTTGTTTAGTTATATTACTCTCTTTCTTAATTATTTTTTTCTTTATATGTCGGTCTACATTTTTCTCTTTTTTTTCCACTTCATTTATCTTTATTTTTCTTTCTCTTGAGTTTTCTGTCTTTCTTTTTTCCTTCCTTCCTTCCTTCCTTCCTTCCTTCCTTCCTTCCTTCTTCTCAGTCAAGCATTATTTGCTCTTTCTTTTCTGTTTCTCTTCTTTAAAATCACATTGTTGAAAGTTGTCGAACATTCAGGGACAACCTCCTGAGCGATAACCAGTGTGGAATACACTCTGCTATAATCACAGCTAATGTCTTAACGCTTATTACACACAGAATCATCAAGGTACTATTTAATAAATTCATCACGAGGACCATCGACCTACATATATCAAAGGCCTTTGACAAGGTGTGGAACTCTCCAGTAAAGGAACCTCTGGATGAGCTTCCTCAACCCTTTCTTAACAGAAAGCCCATGTTAACAGCCATTTATCAGAAGCCGATACCAATACCGGGGTTCCTCAGCGTTCTCTCCTCGAACCTACTCTCTTTCTTCTCTATATTAATGGTCTGCTTAAGATCAAACTCCGATCTTTAGGGAATGTCTATCCGATGCGCCTCCAAAAATCTCGATACAAGGCAGCTGTCTCTCCTCTGAGTTAGCCCTTGTGGCTCAATTGTGAAAGAACTGGCTTTTAAATACAATACATCCAAAACCAAACAAATAACGTCCTGCCGTCACCAAACGGTTCCTGAACTTTCACCTATCATGATGGCTGGGTGTCCTTCCAAGAGGTCTCTTGTCTTGAACGTCTGTTGGAACTCAATCTCTCTCCATACCTCAAGTGGAACTCATATATCTGATCTAGTGCTAAAGATGCTCCGAAAATGATTAGTTCATTGTACCACTCTAGTAAGAATCTGACTCCCTCTGCAAGAGTCAGATCAGACCCAGAAATGGAGTATTGCTACTATATCTGGTCAGGAGCTGCCGAATAATCACCTTCCTATCTTGAAAGAACACTAAAGAGTCTACACGGCCTTGTTAGTAATAAATTCTGTTCCACCCTACAAATTCTTTACCATATATGAAACGTCACAAGCCTGTCGCTACTTAATCTTTGTTTCTTTGACAAGAGTTCTGGCGAGATACATTCCTTGGTTCCACCAACCCTGATCTTTGCTCCTGTGACCCGCTATGTCACGTACAGAAGGATGAATCAAACTCATTACTTTCATTAGTAACAAGAAAATTCTACTCGGACTGCTTCTTCCCAAGAACTGCTACCTTGTGGAACAGACTCTCGGCATGATGTTTCACCGATTACTATAATCTTAACCTCTTCATGTCTAGGGTTAACCACTGTCTTTCCTAAATAACCACATCAACTCTACTTCTTGCTTGTACAACTCATAAAACATCACACAATCAATAAGCCTCTACCTTGAGTAGCTCTTGAGCCCTGTACTGGAAAAAATTTATTATAAAAAGGCTTCTTCCTTTTAAAGATTAGACGTTTACTTCCTTAGTCGAATGGATGGACACGTTGTTCGTCATAAAATATTTTATTCTGTCAAAGCTGACTATGGTTGTAACAAGTTGTTTCATTTTAGGTAATATTTATGACAAAGCAGATCGCCCAAGTTTCGCTTACACTCTTGCTACTCAGTTAGTCATAATGACATGCCAGTAACAAGATATTTTTCACGATATATACGATCGTATAGATTAGGGGTCGGCAACATTTTGCTAACTATGTGCCGACTTAGGGTTTTAAAATCATTCAGTGTGCCAACAGCATATGTATTTTTTATACAAGTCAAGGTCAATATACCTGTTCTACAATATATTTGATATAGTAATATATAGTAGATATACTTTAGTATATATTAAAATTAAAACAGCTAAATATCTTCTTTGCGCTGTAGTAGTTATATTGGTTCAGACTTCGTGATGTCATTTGCAGCTGCGTACAATTAGAAATTCCTTGGCGTGCTATGTGTGGCACGCGTGCCGTAGGTTGCGACACGTGGTATAGTTCAGGAGTAGGAATTTATACCTATGAGTTTCCGATTCCTTCTAAAGTTTTCTCATTCATGTTGGCATTATTCTCTTGCTTGGGATGAATTGATTAAAAAAAAACTTATTTGTAATTATTATTTACCATGTATTAGACAGCTCTTGGATTCGTTTTGACTAAAATTCCACAT